CTGAGCCGAAGGTTCTGGAGGTCTTAGCTAAAGGTTCCTGAGGACTGAGCCGAAGGTTACGAAGAACTGAGCCGAAGGTTCCGGAGGTCTGAGCCGAAGGTGGACAATCAGCCAAACGATTGTCTGAGAGGAAACTCATATCTTCTTTTTCTTCTCGTCTTTTTGCCTCCTTTCTTTTTCATCTGTTCTTCCATCCTCTTCTCTCTTTTCTTTCAGTTTTCTGTTTTCCTCCTTTCAGCCGCTCTCTGATGCGTCTGATCCTCCTCCTCTGTTTTCTCTCCTCCTCCTCCTCGTTTGTCTTCTCTTCTTCTGAATCCCACACATCAGCTCCTTCTGCCTGCTTCTCTTCCTACTGCAGAAGTTCTGGTCCTGGTCCTGGTTCTGGTTCCTCGGCAGCAGAAATGATCTGAGGTTTTTGTTTTTTCTTTGGGTTGAGTGAAGCAGCGACCCGTCAGAAGGTTCTGTTCATGAAGAAAGGAGATCTTTGTTGTTCTCAGCCGAACCCTCCATAGGAACTTTCATCACATTCCTGAACCGGGTCGGCCCGGAGCCACAACGGCCGAGAACAAACACCAAGAACTTCAGTTGGAACCGCAGGAAACCCAGACGGGCCCTGAGGAGACTGCAGGGATAAGATCTATGAACAGGCAGAGACGGAGCAGAACCGATCGGACCGGAACCGCCGGGCCTCGAAAATTCAGAGATTAGATGAGATTTTCTGCTCGGGAACAAAAACTGAAACAAACTAAATCTGCAGACGCTCTTATTCTGAAACTTGAACGCTTTTATTCTGAAACCTGGACATTTTATTGTTTTTATTTTAAAGTCAAAACCATGTCCACGTTTGTGTTTGTTGTTTTGTGAACTTTCTGTTTTGACCTTTGAACTCTGCATTTCTTGTGTTTGTGGATATCTTTGACTCTTGTTTACCTGTTTGTTTGTTTGTTTGTTTGTTTGTTTTTTAAATCAACAGTTTGTATGGATTTTAATTTTTGCTCTTTTAAAAATCTTTGTCTCTTTTCTCTGCAGTTGTTTTGGATCTCTGGTCACTTTTTCATCTTTCTCATCAGGCTTTCTATCTTAGTGGTAGTTTTATGTAGTTTAATGTAGTTTTTATGTAGTTTTATGTAGTTTTATGTAGTTTAATGTAGTTTTTATGTAGTTTTTATGTAGTTTTATGTAGTTTTATGTAGTTTTTATGTAGTTTAATGTAGTTTTTATGTAGTTTAATGTAGTTTTTATGTAGTTTTATGTAGTTTAATGTAGTTTTATGTAGTTTTATGTAGTTTTATGTAGTTTTATGTAGTTTTTATGTAGTTTTATGTAGTTTAATGTAGTTTTTATGTAGTTTAATGTAGTTTTTATGTAGTTTAATGTAGTTTTTATGTAGTTTTATGTAGTGTAATGTAGTTTTTATGTAGTTTTATCTAGTTTAATGTAGTTTTATCTAGTTTAATGTAGT